AGAGACTGCCTCTTGTTTGTTCGCCCACAGAGAGAAAACACTTCAGTTTACCTTAAATTTAGTTTGTATGACACAGAAATAAACTAGAAGCAATATATAAAGTTATAAAAATCACCACAGTGAAGGAGTTTTTTAATTGCCAATAAGGACAAGACTAAAAGTGATTCAAACAAACTAAACGAATTGAATGAATAAAGAGGAGCTGGTAAACCTTGCTGGGCCTCGATCTGTGGGGTATGACCAGGCACGACCTAAAGAAACTATCGGCCATTCTGTAAACCCATCACCCACAGAGATGGGCACTGGGCTTAGATACCTGGGAGCTGGAGCAGCACAGCAGACTGGATCTCGTACCATCAGGTCTCTGGTTCTTAGCAAATAAACTCGATATAGTGGGTCACACCTCAGCCCATAGCCATGGGCTCTAAACCCAAATCCAGGTTTGGGACTGGACTCTTTCTATTTCTGGACTTACCCAAGGAAAGAGGTGGGTGAAGGATACTCATGTCCCTGGCCTTTGGGGTTTTTCCAGAGTATAAGGGCGCAACTCTATGCAACTACAGGTCATGGAGGATATGGTTCTGAGTGTGCTTTTATGCTCAGTACTTCAAAATACCTGGCCTACTTGGGTCTATATGTGAAATTATTGAAGGGGTTTCACTTGTGAGATCTCGGGAGACTTTACCTCTCATGTGGGCAGTTGTAGAGAACCCTGGACCAGCTGATAAACTGCCCAGAGTTTTGTTTTTGATGAACAGACATAAATTAGTCCAAACAAACACCATGTTCATGCTCATAAGTGTAGTTATTAAAAAAGAAACACAGGCTAAAAGGTTTACAAACTGCTAGGCATGCATAACTGGTGGAGTCACGTCAGTCTATGTTTGATATTTGGGTGAAGAGAACAGCATCACTGTCAACGGATCACCAGTATTAGTATTAGATGGCAGGAAGATGCCATGGGACTGATCTGTAAACCTAAACAGGTAGTGAGAGTGAGACTCCATTGCAGAGGCAGCTGGAAGGTTGTCACTGCCCATTGTGGTGACAATCCTAAGGACTCCATACATGAACATTAATTCAACAGTGACAAATAAAGCTGGAATACTACTACTAATAATAATGGATTGCATTTATAGAGCGCTTTTCGAGACCCTCAAAGTGTTTTACAATTCTCACATTCACACACTGGTGGAGGCAG